AATAGAGTAGACAGAGGTAAGCGAAGCAAGAGGGTTGGGGGCCAGGACATATCTTGGTTTTTGTTGTTGAAGAGGTAGGCCAGCGAGGGAGGTCGGTAGGTGGCCTTGGCTCGAGAGGCGTCACTTTTGAGCGGATGGCTCGGCGATGGCCTTCCCTCATGGGGTAAAGTTGGAACTCACCTTGATTGGGTCCGCCCCTTCTGGGGTGCCGAGCGCCTGTATGGAGGGGCCAGCCGAGCCATCGCTGCCGCCAGACGTCTTGACCGCCTTGCCGATGCTCGGTTGGTAGAGCACTGCCGCCGTCTTGGTTGCCTCCTCCACCGGCACCCTTCCCGCATCGTGGCCGGGGCCGTCGGGAGCAGAGGGTGCGACGAGCGTGGCCGCTTGGGCGACGTAGTCTTGCTCGCAATAGTAGGCTTGCTCGAAGCTGCCCTCAATGGTGATGACCCCCTTTGGGCCAGGCATCTTGAGCTTGAGGTAGGTGTAGTTGGGGATGGCCATGAACTTGGCGAAGCACGGTCGACTGAGGAGGGCATGGTAGACACCGGGGATGTCAACGACCTCAAAGGTGAGTGGCTCCTTACGAAAGTTGTTCGGCTAGCCGAAGGTGACGTTGAGCCGGATGCGTCCGAGGGGTACGGCTTCCCTCCCCGGCACAATCCTATAGAACAGCGCCTTGCTGGGGCACAGGCTGCTTCGAGGGATGACCATCTTGTCGTGGGTGCTGGCATAGAGTATGTTGAGGCCACTGCCCCCGTCTATCAGCACCTTGGTGAGGTGTCTGGTGCCCACGATCGGGCTGACCACGAGCGGGTAGCGCCCTAGATGGCGGACGCGATCGGGATGGTCTTCTTGGTCGAAGGTGATGGCCGTCTGGGACCACCGGAGCCACATCGGGCGGTGAGGGTGAGGACGGCGTTCACCTCCTGCTCGGTGATGCAGCGCTGCCGGTGGGATTCATACGCCTGGGAGCCTCCTAGGCGCCATCCGCTGGGTCACTGGCCTTTGGGGCAGGCTTCTAGGCCTTGCCCCATTGGCTGAGGGTGCTATGGATGTAGCCCTTCATGGTAGCGCAGTCCTTGAGAAGATGCTTCGCCTGCCTGCCGTGGAACGGGCAGGGGGAATCGAGTGCCTTCTCGAAGTGTTCCGGTCATGCAGTGCGCTCGCGGGGCTAAAGTTTGGTGGCGCGGTTGGCCGCGGCGACCATCTCCTCCCCGCGGCGCTTCCGGTCCTTGTTCTGCCTATCGCGGCGTCACTAGGACGAGGCAGGATCGTCGGCGCCGTCGCCACCACTAAGGTGGCCGATGGCATTGGCTTTCCTGTTGAAGTTGGCCTAGACGGCCTCCTCGCTGGTGGCGTACTAGGTGGCGACGTCCAAGAGCTCCCGCATCGTGCATGGGGTCTCGCGGCCAAGCGCGTGGATGAGTGCCTCGTAGGTCATGCCGCAGATGAAGGCGTTGATCACGTTGGCGTCGGTGATGTTTGGGAGCTCATTGCGCTTCTTGGAGAAGCGCTAAATGTACTCCTAGAGGGTCTCGTCGGCCCTCTACGGAGATCGCCCCAATAGCGAATGCTGCCGGGCTCGAGCTGCTCGAGCCAAGCTCTGGCTGAGCGTGGCAGAAGCAGAGGAAGGTACTAGATAGCAAAGTCATCGTCTTACCCCCTGGCCTTAGTCCTCCAGCCAATGGTCTGGGTTGGTCTCGCCGTCATACTTGGAGATGTGCGTCGGCGTCCGAAAACGCCTAGGGTAGGGGGCCGCCCGGATCGCTGCCCCGGACGCTAGGAGGCCGAAGTGATCCGGGACAGGACCCCCACCCCGTCGCTCAGGGGTACAGGTCTACACCTGAGCATGGCATCTGGCCTCGATGGTGTCGCAAACGTCGCAGTCATCCCCAATCCGGTGCCACGTAGGGGGCGGTGCCGAGGAGAAAGGTCGTGCCCTCGCTCCTACCGAGGCTTGGCGCCCTGGATCCATGGCCGGTAGAAGCTGTTGCTAAAGGTGTCGCCGCTGTTCCCTGCCGACCATGGAGTGTGAGCGTCGGAGCACCCCCCGTTGGCAGTGGCCGTCGTCTGGGATGGCCGGGAGAGCACGACACGGCGCCGAGAGGCCGACCTCTTGGCCTGCTGCTCGAGGGTGACGCGAAGGAGCCGCTTCACCTCGTTCAACTACTCGTTGGTCTTCGGGTCCGGCGTGTCGGAGATGTCTTCCAGGCGGCAAGCGGTGACCGCCATGTTCTACGCCGCGCGGGGGAAGTAGAGGCCACTGGGAGCCCCTGTGCAGGCGTCGTCCTCGTTGCCACGCAAAGTGCACCTACCGAGCGCGCAAGCGGTCCGCATTCCCCTAAAGGTAGGCCACGCGACTACGGGGACTCTGGTTCGGCGGCGTGAGCCTGGGTGCCTCCTCAGCAAGATCATCGTCGTCGACGTGGTAGCACATGCGCGGCAGGGCGTCGTAGTCGATGTCGTCGGAATCGTACTCCGGTCCGTTCTCTGAGAGGATCTCGAGGAAGGCGTGGAGCGAGGGGACATCAGTCCCTGCTACGTCGAAGAGGATGATGCTCCGTGGTGCCACGTGACTGATAAGGTGCTCCAGCTCTAGCTGGAAGGACGCCGCCGCGTTCTGTATCCTGAAAGGCAGGTCCAGGAGGTAGTACCAGAAGCGATCAGGCGGCGGGAGCACCTCATCGGTGGTGATCTGGTGGTGGACATTGGCCAGCATGTAGAACATCCTGCGGCGGTCCGACATGGTCGTGTTTGGGCCCAGACTGCGCTGGATCTGATGGGCCAGAACCTCGAGATCTGCTCCCAAGAGTCCTAGAGAAGGAGGCGGCGTTGGGGGCTTGTCGCCGGTGTAGCCCCGTGAAGTGGATGAAGCTCGTCGTAGCAGTCGGCGATATAGGCTAGGCTCCCAAAGTTGAGGACCTGGCCCAGAGCGAAGGCACCAGCCGCGATGGAGAACTAGCCAGGGTAGCAGACACCACCGTCTGGGGTGGTGCCGCTTGCTCTGATGACAAGGCGGGTGGCTCCAGCCACCATAGAGCCAAAATTGCACTTGACGCTGCCCCCTACCTGGCGCACCAGCTGTCGTGGGGTCAAAACCACGGCAAGCATGTTGTTCGAGTTGGTGTCAGAGTATGGGGTCTCCAGCAGCTCGGGTGGACTCAGGAAAACAAGAATCACGGAGAGAAGACGCAATAGTTTATCCTGTTTCGGGCCAATTCGGTCTCTACGTCTAGCAGTTGATGATCCTTATACTCAAGAGCACACAAAATCTGGGGGGTTACAACAGAGTGTAAAGGAAGAAGATTTGGTAGGGGGGTTAGCTCGGTGCTAATCCTATGGTTGCCTCGCCGCCGGTGGAGTCTCGCCCTCACCAAAGAGGAAGGAGACGGTGGGATGCAGTGGAGGGGCTCTCGGTGCCCCTCTCCGGGTTGCCTTGCTCTCAGTGCAGAGCAGAGGTAGATGGAATGGAATGAAGTGTCTGGTGATTGAATTGGGATCCTCCCCCCTCTAGGTCTGACCTTATCCCTTATATAATGAGATAGGTTGGGTATAAGGTGGTTTGGGGGTTCTAGTCTATGGTCTACGTGCACCGGAGTCCAGGAGGGGCTTGCAGCGGTGCACCGTAGACCGTCGAGGTGTCTTGGAGACGAAAAAGCCTGGGCGACGTCCGGCTGCTCTGTTCTAACACTCTACGTGTCAGAGGATGTCGGCTTAGACCACCCTCCCCTGGGTGAGACCTTCTAGAGTCTTCTTGGTGGCGAAGGAGGTCGGATCCAGGGGCTGACGTGCGGGCCCAGAAGCCCCCAGAGCCCCCGGAGGCCGTAGGAAGCTTTGTCTTCTTGTGTCATGCCCCGGACGTGACCCTGTTGGAGGAGCAGTTGGCGGCGGCACGCCAAGGGTGCGGCGCCAGGGAGTCCCCGGGCATCGGTAGCCTAGGGCTTGTCTTCTTGTGCCCGGGCCTTGGCTTGCATCGTTAGCCGGGCAGGAGCCAAGGGCCGGTCTCGGAGGTGCTGTAGATCGTGAGCCCAAGGCTCGGGGAAGCCCTGAGCCCCAGGCGGAAGCTGCGGTCGAGTCAGGCTCGGCCGGGTCTCTTTGCCAGAGGGTGCGCGCGAGCGTGCCCGATGGGCATAGCCCCCGAGCCCCCAGGCGATCCTGAAAGGGTCGGTTGGGGGGTCTGCTTCATTCGGGAACCATTGGACCCGAGGGTTAACATACCTATATGTTAGGATCTCATCATGGGGTAGCCGACGATGTAGTCGATGATGAGGCCAGTGTAGTTGATGTAGTGGTTGTCGAGGACAGCTCCTTTGGAGGTAAGGGTGGACGAGCTACATAGCGGTACCAGTGCTGTAGATTTGTTAGCGACGGCGATGACAACTGCACGCCGCTCGTATGCTCGCACGAAGGGCATGGCCATCTTTTGGAGCTCGATGTCGGTCTCTAGGGGGCACAAGGAAACTGGCGGTGTAGATGCTGATCCATTGTTGCTCGTTGAGGGTCTCGGCGCGTACCACATGTGCCATGAAGCGCTACGTGTAGTCACAAATGGTGCCAGTCTTCTATAGGGACGCCAGCTTGTCTAGCTAGTTACCTTGAGTCGGTGGGTCGAAGCGCTCATTGACACAACGAGCGAAGTACGCCCAGTCAGTCACCATCTTGTCCTGCGTCAAATGCATCTACCATTGTTGTGCTCCACCTGTTAGATGAAAAGAGGCATAGTAGACTTTCTCGTTGTTGGGTTTTTTCTGGCCTCTGAAGAATGGCTCGCAGCGGTTAAGCCATGGTAAAGGTTCCTCCCTTCCATCATATGTGGGGAACGACAGCTTGTGGTAGCGCGATTGGAAGACCGGGAAGGACCCTGCTGCAGACGGGTGCGGGTATGACAGAACCGTAGGTTCCTTGGGTGGCTCCTCTCTCCTCTGGCTCAGGCGTGGTGATGAACAAATTGTTCATCACTTGCTCCATGATCTAGGGGATGCTCAATGACTTCGAGCCTTCTATCTTCTCCTTGAGGAAGGCATGCCCAACGATCCCATGGCTCGCTTGGTCTCGACCTCAAGGTCCTTGGTGGTGTCCTTGTGTTCCAGCTTTGCCCTGGCTACGGCTGCGGTGTCGGCATCATCCTTGGAGCCTCCTTGCTCCATGTTGCTCAAGCGAGCATCAACATTGATGAGGTGCTCCGACACCTTGTCCATGCGTTTGGTGGGGTCATTACTGAAGGCCTCGAGCCACACCTTCATCTGCGTTGACATGGTGATGTATCGGATGGCCAAACCTAGTATTGCTAATTATGTGGTCAAAGATTTCTGATTTTAGAGTGGCATGGTATAAAAACAAACTTGCGTAATATTTGAGTGGATAAAGATGGTCTTTTTCCGGTATTTAAAAGTTTATTTCATGAATCCAATGATATAATATTCATGTCATTAATAATTCAATAAGTTTTATAAATCCATAGTCATAGCTAGAAAATGTTGGCCACACTAAATTTTTTTTTGGATGTCGTATATTTATACAAACAATTATGGTCACAAAGGTTTTCATTTTTAATTTTTTTTTTGTTCATAAAAGCTGACTGATTCTCTGAAGAGATAAACCATGACGGCTTAGTGGAGCTTCAGCGTGCCTTTTGTGCATGGGGTAGAGCTGGTGAAGCTTAAAAAAAAATATAGCATATTGACTCTTCTTATTTGTTACTCCATGTTTATAGGGCGCAGTTTAATATGATAGAGCCTCCCAAGTAACACTTTGATTATTTGTTTATTTCATATATTGTTTATGATTATAAAGTTATGAGTATTGTATGGTACATTTAATTACAAACCTAACTGCATCAAAGTTGTATCACAATAATTAAAAATTGTTGACTAAATTGTTGGTCAAAGGTTGTCAAGTTTGGATCCTAATATGTGTTTGCGTCTTATTAACTGGATTGGATGGACTAGTTGTTTTGAGTAAAAAAAAATGTGCTCTTTGCTATGGTAGCAACAGTGTTGCTTACTTTTTAGGTGGGTCAGAGCTGCCTGAAGCTACGCTAAATGTTCAAAGGCGTCGTTTTCGTACCTGAAGCTGTCGCTTGGAGTAGCAAGGCTAGTAGTGTCGCTGATGACGTTGCCGTCCCTGTTACTGCTGCGTGTTCCGTGGTAGAACCTCAACTCCTCTGACGTGTCCAAGTTGACTTTCCATTTCCTGGCCGCAGCAACAGCTACCCTGGCGAGCCCCGTGAACGGGCTGCCCCGAGCGCCTGGCCGGCGGTAGTACGGCGTGCCGACGAGCAGCATCACGAGCCCCGCCAAGCTGGCGGCGCCGGAGATGGCGTAGCCGAGCCCCCATGACACGTTGTCCTGCACGTAGACGATGACCGTGGAGCCGATCACGGAGGACGCGTAGAAGAAGATGAAGTACCAGTTGAAGAGCACGTCGCGGTCGGCCGCGGCGTCGAACTGGCTGGCGCCCAGCGTGGCCTGGTTGAACCGCGCGCCCCCCGCGCTGAGGCACAGCATGAACACCGCGGCGTACAGCGCCGCCATCTGCCCGGTCGAGGCTTGTTCGCACGGGCCAGCAGCGCTTGGCTGGCACGAAGCCGGCCGCAGGACGTTCAGGCTCGCCGTGAGAGTGAACATGACCAACGCCTGCGAGCGCGCAGTTGCTGCAGAAAGTTCATCTAGGCCCGACGGTATGATCGGCACGTCGATGCGTATGTACGATGAGGAAGAAAGTAAGTGCACTGACTGACCAGGACAGAGAAGACCATGGCGACCGCGACGACAGGGTAGCAGCCAAAGAAGGCGTCGGCGACGATGGCTCCACCGACTGGAGCCAGGCTGAGGCATCCGAGGGCGATGCTGGAGATCTGAGCGGCGTCGACGCGCTGCACGTTGTACTTCTTCACGAGGTAGACAACAAAGTTGCTCGTCGCGCCGCCCCTTGCCACCCCAAGCCCGAGCATCGCCACTGCGCCAAATCAGATGTATACATGGAACGGGGAGCTCAAAATATTATCAGCACATGAGAGGCAGGCAGACCTGCGAGGAAGGGAAAAGTGATCCAGCCCCCCGTGTTCTTGGCATCACTCGGCTGCTGGAGGGACTCGTGATCGACGACGCTGAGGTTACGAGGAGGCAGTTGTTCTTGAGACCCGTTGGCCTCCATTCTTCTGCTGTATCTCCCCGACCCTGACTGCTCGGTCAATACTTACAAGCTCCTTATTACTGTATGTATATATATGAGAATGAGATGAGCACAATGCAGAAGTCAGACTGGGGCCAACGTGGCTACGGTAATTTTTTTTTCCGAATAATAACATTGGAACTTGGAAATGGCCACCTATCCCTTTGGATAGGAAAATGTCAAAGCACGTCTAGTTCAACCGTTCATCTTTACTACTTTTAGGGGCCGTTTGGATCTTTTATTTTGGAGGAATTGAAATTTGACATTCCACAACTTTTTCAAGTTCACGTATAAGTTTATCTCAAATTCATCAGGTTGGAAATGGAAATTGATTCTATATATAGATCATAATGCTATGTTTTTACTTTGCAACTTATAGCACTCTTTAACTCGTTTCTCTACGGTAGGAATACAACATATAAGTTTCTTCCTGGTAAGGATAACAATAGTATACAAATATATTCTATATACAATCATATTAGCTTAATTAATTCAAACAGCAAATGGGGCGGGGTGGGGCGCTCCTGATCATGAACCCTCGAACCGGTAGCCTTAGAAAAGGTTCAAGGGTCGAACCGCTCCTTTCGCATGGCTAATCCACCTGATCCACTGTGACCCGAAAACCGAACCTCTCATTCACTAACATCCTGGCACATGTACATTTGCATGACAGCATGCAAGACAACTTCCTCAGCCTGTCTTCGCCGCTCAGGCTGCCGCAAGTGCTTAGTGCTCGGATGCCCGCGTCCCGCGTCCGTGTGCGCCGCCACCGCGCGGGGCCCACAGCAGCCGCCGCCCACCCATGCCCGCGCGCCAGTAGCTCCGATGCGGTCACCACCTCCGTCGAGACGCTGTTGATGGCGTTCCCGAAGTACTCCGCCGGCAGCGGCGACCGAAGCGTTGATGAAGTTCCAGAAGGCCATGCCGTCGGAGAGCCCGTGGTTGTACACGAAGGAGCGCGGTAGCAGGGGTGGGGCGACAAGCCTCCTCAGGTCCGATGGATCGACCCTAGGGTCGATTAGGATCGGATGGGTCACGACCCTGTCACCCCTCTTTGATATGGGTTCGACCCGCTTCGCTCCGTACCCTGAAATGAGGAGCGGATCGCATTTACAAGAGGATCAAACCGCACCCCTTGCAGACTTATAATTAATATGTGTCTAAATTATATTATTAGAATGATTTCAATTCGAAGCATCCAAACGGGGCCGATTTCCTAATTCATCTGAATTTCTCCAGACCCCTAGGTCGCGCTCTCCATGGTAGGTGGTGGGGCAGGCCATCCAAGCCACCGCCACCCTTTCCCACCATCCCTGTTGCCTTGCCGCCGCTAGATCAGGGCACCAGAGGCCCACGTACATGCTATGAAGACGGTGGTGTGTTCTTCTCACCGGTCCAGAGTGGACTTAGGTTGCTTCCTGCCGTGGCGATGGCTCGAGGCTCGGCGCATGGCGAGGCGAGGTCTATTTGGGCTTTCGGCTTTCGCCAGATTCGCTCATGTGAGGGACGTCGTGGCGGTGATGCGTGAGGATTTGGTGGTGGTATGCCATCCACGACAATGACAACAAGTAGGGGGATGGAGGATCCACTGTCGGATCCCACAATCCTAGGGGTTGATCTGCACCATCAGAGCCTGTGCTGCCGCATGTAAGTAGCATGGCACAACGACAATGGTTAGGCCATTCGTGGGCGGCGCCACTATGGCATAAGGAGCTTTCATATAATCAAAATATAATCAAGGGTTTCATATAATCAAAATATGAAGGATATGGCTTAGTGTAGGTCTCGGTTGCTTTAAAGGGCACAGCGGGGAGGTTGAATCTATAGAAGTCAGGCACTTTCCAACCATCAGGAGCTCTCATATAATCAAAATATGAAGGATATGGCTTAGTGTAGCTCTTGATTGCTTTAAAGTGCACGATCAGACTCTTTTCTAAATCTTTATGCAGATTTTCTTTAAATCGGCTTAAAACTTCGTCCCATGGGGTTTGATCCCCGATTTATGAAGTATTTGCGTATATATTAGCCTGTGGACTTCTAAATGGTGGTCTAGGAGGATTCGATAACACTGTATCATGACAAAAAGACATGAGGAGCTGCTGAATTGCTATCTGCTCCTGTAGTAGAAACCAATGATCGTGCAAAGGTAGTCATTGGTAAAGCAATACCAAAGCCCCCCTAAATTAGCCCTATCGATTTCTGATAATGAGAGGCTAATTTGGACTGGTTTGCCGGTACATAGCTTGTCCGTCGCTCAAAAAAGCCGAACGACATCCCATATTGTGGTTAGCTAGAGCAACCAGGGCCGATCCGCTAATGGACACATGTTGAGGCAAAACAAGAGTTTCATATTTCTTTTCCTCCCTTTGGTCATGACCATCCATGAATTGGCTAAGATTTTCATGCATATGAATCTCAAAAAGTCTAACTTGGTCGGCAACCATCGCAGTCCATTCATCATGTGTAATGACAGGTCTATGGGGAGGCTGATCTGTTTTTACCTCAGATTTAGATGTAGCAGGAAGAGGTTTGAAGTTGACATCCTGGATCTTCTGGATAGCTCCCCGCCGATCCACCTTGAAGCATGATAGGGCATGCTCCAGATCGGCAGCTGCTCGGGCCTTCGCCCTCTCCTCTAGCATCTTGCGAACTCCTTAGGGAGTTGATCGGCTGAGGGCTTGATGATGTTGCCTTGATTCTTCGTATCGATCTTATGGTTAAAATTGTCGTAGTAGATTTGTTTGATTTTCTTCTCCAGTAGGAGTTACCAAAAAGTGTGTTGATGCTAATTCGGATCACACACCAGCTAGGGTTAGATCGTCGGAAGCCGCATTCATGTTTGAGACCATGAAAAGGAAAATAAAGAGAAATATTTCAACCCAATCACGCTCATTCATGTTTCTGAGACTTTCAGAGTGAATGATTTTCATGATATGCTTGAGGCGATCGCTGAAGATCGGCACTCTGATATTAGTGGTTGTAAAGGTCTGCAAGCAAAGTTGGTCGATAAATTGAATGGCAAACGTTTCTTATTGGTACTGGACGATCTCTAGGTCAACGATGAGAATCACCAGGACCTGGAGGAGATACTTTCTCCCTTCAATGTTGGGAAGAGAGGAAGCAGAATCCTGGTGACTGCCCGAAATAAAGATGCAGCTTTAGGTGCTAACAACCTTATTTCAATATCTGATTTGGACGAGGAACAATACTTCTCAATGTTCATGCATTATGCACTAGACAGTACAATTTTTGATGATAGAAAATACATACCAATTGGGCGAAAGATTGCTAAAAAGCTACACAGATCACCTATTGCAGCAGTAACAGTGGCCGTGCAGCTTTGGAGAAACCCAGATATCAGTTTTTGGGAAACAGCCGTGAAACTAGACTTATTGAATAAGACAAAGGGAGCTCTGTGGTGGAGCTATCAGCAACTTGATGTGGATGTCAGGCGATGTTTCGAGTACTGCAATATTTTTCCCAGAAGGTATGAGTTGGAACGAGATACGCTAGTTCATATGTGCAGCCTGTTCGCTAGTTGGTTTCTTGACTGATTTAGGCTGGCTGGTGCTGATTTGTTGTGAGAGGAAAACAATGTTGGTTGGCTAATTTGGGCTGGCTGAAACCAATAAGCGAACAGGCTCGTGGATTGCACAGGGCTTTGTTAAGACAATCAATGCAAGAGAGCAGGAGGATGTAGAAGACGTGGGCCAGGACTACTTCCATGACTTGCATTCATGTGCATTTCTTCAACTAAAAAGGAAAACTAGTTCTGATATTGATTCCAGAGAGTACTTCACAGTTCATGATTTGTTGCATGACTTAGCAGAGTCTGTTGCTGGCGGTGATTGTGTTAGAATTAACAGAGGTGTCATAGGACAAATTCCTAAATATGTCCGGCATCTTTGCATTGAGTCCTACAATGAAGAAGCATTCCCAGAGCAAATCCTGGAGTTGTGAAACTTGTGCACTCTAATAATGTGTTATTCTGTCAAGAAGATCAGTCAAGACGATTTTAAGTGTGTGCTCACTCGTCTAAAGAAGCTGCGGGTGGTGCAGTTGGACGTCCAATGGTTGAGAAGGATCCCAGCATGCATATGTGAACTAAAACATCTGCGGTACCTTGGTATTTCTACACCCCCTCCCCACAGCATGACTTTGCCAACTGAAGTTACCAAGCTTTACCATCTCCAGGTGCTCTCTGTGCCACCTAACACCCTTTTGCACTGTTCTTCCAAGGAAAAAATGTCTAACCTTATCAATTTGCGGCACATGCTCACGTGGTATGGCTTGAACTTTCCTAACATAGGGAGGTTAACATCACTCCAATCTCTGTATCACTTCTATGTTAAAAATGAGAAGGGATAAGAAATACAACAGCTGGAACACCTAAACAACCTTCGCGGCAAGCTGTTTATTGAATGCCTCGAAAATGTTCGGAGCAAGGAGGAAGCTCTTCAAGCCAGGCTAGCTGACAAGGTACATTTAACAGAGCTGACACTGCAGTGGGGCGGTATTGATGAAATCTCCAGAAGGAAGCAAAGCGCAATAGAGGAAATGAGGAAGGTATTTTCTCCTGTGACACCTGTGAACGTGTCAGAATGGAGAACTCGCCGCAATCAGAGATGCACCCCAGAACTTCAAGAGGAGGTACTTGAGGCACTCCAAGCACCATCTCAGATCACGTCACTTTGCATCAGAAACTATGATGGTCAGAGATACCCACGTTGGTTGTCGGGAGAACAGGACACTCAGATTTGAACAGCACAGATGTTTCTCACTTGCAAAATCTTATGTTCTGGGATTGCAATGGTTCATGTGTTCCCCCCAAGATTGGTAAGTTTTTCGTTCATATCTTTAGGCTCACAGTTACAGGCTGCAGTTGGACCTCTTTGTCAGATAACTTGGACCATCTGGAATCACTTAAGGAACTGAACATCCAGGAGTGCCCAAACATTGAGTCACTGCCGCAACTACCCCGC